AAGTTTGCTTTCAACCCATTATCACATTAAATCATGCGAGGATGCTTTAATTGTTATAATGCAATTGAAACTAAGAAAAAAATAACTGAAATCTTAATTCGAAACACTTCCCATTAAAACATTCTAAACTAAATTTTTATTTTTATATTTTGGAAATATACATAAATTCATCCGGAATGTTCTTTCGTATTTGCAACCAATTATACCGTCTAATAAATTAATGAAAAGTGCAACTTCATTGTTAGATTCTATTTCCTAATTTATTCGATATTCTATTGAATCCCCAATTTATAGTGCACTGCATGTTCTGTTTAAATAAGGTTTTAAATTCAATTTTCGAAGCTATTGACTCTTACTTTTTTTTATTCTTTTGTGGTATTGAACAGAAAGGTCACGCGTGGCTTCTACATAAAAGGCTTTCCCTTCTTTAATCCTACTTGGTTTTATTTCTTTTATTCCTATTCTTTTATTATTCTTGGTGGCGCACTTTGTGGGTGGACCTTTTGACTAGGTTAATGTTTTCGGTATCGTACGATTATTAAAATGGCTCTTTGACCGCTGTGAAACCGGTTTGTTGTAGACATAACTTTGGACATCTTTTTTTGGTCCTTATCTTTTCATTTCAGTGGAAAAAATGTCTTGATTGTGGGAGTAGCTTCATGCATTAGAAAATAGATTATGCGTATTGAAAACAGATAGAAGAAACCGAATGGTTTGAAATTTTGGTGATTTTGATAATGGGATTTTGTTTCAATATGAATTTTTCTTTTCTTTTTTAGTAAGTGTTCAGATAATTGAGAGGAAGTTGTAGGTGTTCGATTGATTGTTTAATTTTTAAACAGAATATGGCCTATAACTAAGCTTTGGATGTATGATAGAGGAGTGTTCGTTAAAATGATTTTTTTTTTTAATCTGTAACAAATTAATTTAGAAAATTAAACGAATTAAAACAAAGTGATATCGATTATTATGTTTTTTTTTAAGTTCCAAAAGACGTTAGTATGAATTGTGATTTAGTTTACCACTTTAAAATACTTGTGCATGAGCTAATTCTTTTGATTGCCGTTTAAATCAAAACTTTGTATTTCAGTCATCAGGGATCTGTCTAGGTTTTTCTGAGAGGTACCTATTTTGTGAAAATTTAGACATAATTTGGGAAAATTAAAAAATATATTAAAAAAATCAACACAAAAATATGGTAAAAACATGGATTTATCGCTTCTTACGGGACACAAAAATAAAATTTTAAGATACAGTATTTTGTAAAACTACTATTTTTCCTAAAGTTGAATTTGTGAAGGTACCGTTAAACTGTAGTAAATTTTCCCTAGACCACTGGCCATGTATATATATATATCAGGGGTTTGTTTAGAAGAAATTTGGGTCCGGTTACGGACCCTTCACAAAATATTTTAACTAAAAAACGGACCCTTCACAAATTTGTTTATCTTCATTATTATTTTGTTAATCGAATAAACCCTTTCCAGGGCAGAAAACAAGAAAGATGGATGTAAACGAATTAAGTTTTGTCTTCGGCAGACGATTCTTCCATTATTCGTCCGAAATTAATATTTTGCGTTCAGCAGAATAGGCTAAATACCAAATATTTGCATGTTGCATCTCTAATTTAGAAGCAGCAATTGTTTATTTTTTAAAATTTAATTTTTTTAATTATAATTTTACAGTGTTGAGCATAATCTTGTATGTCTTTACAATTTCAAAACTCCTTGAAAAACTTTTTTTTGCAATAACGGACCCTATTTGCACAAATTCATAAAAGCGGACCCTGGTTGAAAGACTGTGAGTAATTTTTTCACAATTTCACGAAAAACGGACCTTTCACAAAATGTCTGGACAGACCCCTCTCTATATATTTGTGTAATATTTTTCCCCCAAATAATTCAAATTTTTTCCAACTAAATATACCGAAAAGCAACATGCCTTCATAGATACACAAATGGTGTCGGAACTTATAGCCATCTTGTTTTGGGTTGCGGTCATTTTATGAAGGATTACTCGAACAAGTTATTAAACTAATTTTATTTTAATAATGGAACAGAGAATATTAATTTTTATTCTCTCGTCTCAATTTTTAATTAACTTTTAAAATAACATTTTCTTTGATGTAAACCAGAGGATGGCCAACCTTTTGGGGGTCAGTGCCACTTTCGGAAAGGAAAAAAAAAATTCTGCGTGCCATTAATACAGTTTTCGACATTATTATTTTAGAATTTTTACGCAAATATTTTGTAATATCATGTAAATCTGAGTATCCGAGATTTAAAAAAAATTAAATAAAGCATGAAGGCGTACTTAAAGGTTTTATTACTAATAAACATTTTTAAACGTTCAGACAGGTCATGTTGGAAATAAAAATGGATGATTATGAACATTAAGTCTAAATAATAACTAAAAAAGTTATTGATTAATGTGGCTTTTTAATTTTTTTACGCGGTAGGATTTGTTTTAGAAGTTGACAATAAAATTACTTGCATATCAGTTGATCTTAATCGATATTTTAATTTTATTATGTTCTTAGCAGAAAATGTCTGTTTGCAATTATAAATTGATCCAATCCTACAACTGTATCTGACGGCCAAATCTTAATTTTGAAAATGGCTTGCTGATACGAATTTATGAAATTCGTAACTTCATTTTAATTGCTGAGTTTGTACGGATTGTGATGAAGTTCCTGAAGGCGACATTATTATTTTTCAAATTTTTTAAAAAATTCACGCGTGTCGTTGTTAAAACTTTGCCGTGCCACATTTGGCATTCGTGCCGCTGGTTAGCCATCCAGGATGCAAATATAAATTTCTTTTTTTTTTTTTACCTCAGTTTTTAAACTAAATTGAGACTGAATAAAGACTGAAAAGGGAGAAAGTAATAAAGTGTATCATCAAGTGGAGCCAGAAGTTTCACGAGACCAAAGTCACTGAACTTCACGAACAGTGAGAGTTCGTCTAAGACAGGGATTGGCAAAATTTTTTGGCCTTGGGCAAAAAATCGAGAAAAAAAAGTTTGGTGGGCCAAGTAAAAACTTCAAAAAAAAAAAAAAAAAAAAAAAAAANAAAAAAAAAAACGATATGCAAGTTTTAATTTAAATATTTAATGAGATGAATGAAATTGCTATTTCATTTTAAAATATTCCTCATATTGAGGTTCGAAGTGAGATGTGCTTAGTTTTAAGGAACGAGGCTAAATGCTTGTCTGTTAGTCTACTTCTGAAATGATTTTTACTAAGGTTCATAGTTGAGAACACTTGTTCACCTATATAAGATGAAGCAAACATAGCACTGATTTTCTGGGCATGAGATATTAAATTTTGGAAACTAGCTTTTGGTAATGATTCGCAAAACTCACACTTTGGCATGTTTAGAAACTACAATAGTGTGCAATCTTTCCATACACAATAAATAATGTTAGAACTCGCAACGGCTGAAAAATCCGCTCGCTGGAGCTTAAAATGCGCTGTAAAGCACAATTCACCTAAGTTAAATTCCATATCTGATCCTCTAGAAAGACAAACGCTTGTTGAAGCTTATCTGCGTCTTTTCTATAAAGAACTTCTGCTTTCAACATTTTGCCAATTGAAGCTAACTATTTCCATCAATTCCACCAATAGAGAAAGTAATAACGTTATCAGTACTTTGTTAAAAAAGAAAGAACAAAAATAGTTTTAAACAAAGTTGACAAAATAATGGATGCAGTGTTTTCATCTCAGAAAAAAAATGGGTGAGAATTTCTCACCCTTTCTCAAAAACAGGGTGAGATTTCAAAAAGTTAAGTGAGATTTCAAAAATTAAAAAAAAAAAAAAAAAANTATCAGAAAATTAACTACCAATTATAATGCATTTTTAACATCTTCTAATTTTTAAAGCATTGAATATTTTTGCTGCATCATATGGAAAATGTTCTAGATCTACTTTTTCATCAGCTATTCTCATTAGGTTGCTCAAATGCGTATTTGTTTCGTTTTGATCGTTTCTACCCACATTTGATTCATTTTCATTTGTCCGTTTCGGAGTAGAAGATATTGGCTTTACAAGGTATTTGTCCATCTTACATTAACGAGCAAAAAATTTGAACGTCTTACATGAAGAAACCTTACCTACGGTAAACACGTGGTTGCAGAGAAATGCGTTCTAAAAGAGGTTCCTTTGTTCGGAAGGATGGTGTTCTGTTGTTCGAAAAGGTTCTGAACAATACTGGTAAATAGGGAAGCTAGATAGTGGGGCAGATGTTGAAAATAATAAAAGATCCTGGAAGAAAAGCGAAACGGATTTTATTCTAAATGGCGCAAATGAGAAAATTTTTTCAAAATGCGAGAAATTCGCGAATTTTGAAATTGGTTTATAGAATGCGCGAATTTCTCGCGGTGATCATTTTTTAATGCGAGAATATAAAAAAATATGCGAGATTCTCGCTTTCTCGCGCTGTAGTGAAAACACTGCAGTATAATGTATCTTGTTTATATTCGCCATGGATCGGCAAGTTAAAATTCTATCCGCGGGCCGGATAAAACCTTCTGGCGGGCCACAGTTGGCCCACGGGCCGTAGTTTGCCCATCCCTGGTCTAAGACCATCTAACACATTCTCTGTAATAGAATTTTAAGTTAAATTTATTTAGAACTTTCTTTGAAGAATTTTTTCTTCATTGGCGTACTGTCTTACGTTGATAATACGATAAAACAAAGTTTGTTTACTACTTTTATTTAATTTAACGACTACTTAGTGTAGGAGTTCGTATTAGGCTGTGCGAGGGTTTAAACATCTCAAGTGAGCGATGAGTTCCCGTCGCGATAACACTGTTTATTTAATTAAAGCCTTATATCCTTATTTCTTTGATGAAATCGATAAACTTATCGAAACATTGGTATCAAAGTAACGTCGCAAAATAGCTTCTGTTATGGCAAATGTTAAAATTATTTCATTTTCTGATATCTTTTTAAATTCGATCTTAAAAATTCAATGTTTTAAGTAACATGTATTTCTTTCAGGACTTAAGAAATAGCCTCTTGCTTCTATAGTCCAGCAGGTTTCATACGCTTCAGGTAAAATTTGAAATCTCAAGGAATCTGAAATTACCTTATAAAAGTCAGTGAAATTTCAGGGAAAATTAAAATTTTTCTCAAAACTTGGTGAAATTTTGAAAAAATGAAGCATTTCTAGCTCTTTCCTTTTCTGTTCTTTTTTTTTTTTTTTTTTTTTTTTTTNTTTGGTAGCTTATGGTACTAAATGCTGGAAGAAGTGATTTAGATGCTTTATTGTGATATTAACTTTTATTTTTCAAGCTTTTAATGTTTAATGTGTTTTGTGCGTTTAATTAGTAAACCTTTTAACCTTAAAACCTTTAAAAAAAAAATTTTTTTTTTTGTTGATATGTTTGGTACAGTAAAAAAAGGAAAATGATTTTTCACTGTTTTAAACAAAGTGTATATGGATGATTTCTCCTCTAAAAATGACATTCGAATTCATGCTGAAATAGCTGTGTTTGATGTTAGAGTAATATTCCAATTGTTTATGTTCTGTTCTGCCTTTTTTTTTTTCGTTTAAAAAGGAAAACAATTAAATTTTTCTAAACAGATTCAGAAAAATTATTTCGTTATTTTCCTATCACATTTTATGAAATGTAAATGATACAAAGAATTTTTATAAAATTTTTCAACTTTGATATTTTGAGGACTTTTTATACTCGAGGATTCTGCGGCACTGCCCCATTTGTATTGAAGGTAGCTGCCTGCACCTCTGAGAAAAGGGGAAACGAAATTTTCTTTTTTTCTCCTTCCATTTTACTGGTTTTGATATTTTTATTTTCGTCTTCACTATTGAGTCGACATATGATATTGAAATTAATCTTAAGTTGCATTGGTTAACAAAATTAAAAGTTAACAAAGATTTCTCAAGAGATTTATGTTCTTCATGCAAGGTGCCTCACAATACCTTGTCCTTTTTTGCTTCAGATTTAGTTTATAACTCTTTTGTCAGCTTGGATAATATAGCAGCGTTAACAAGTTGAATGCCATGGGGGTCACCGGCAACCGGCACTGAGTTTGTTCGTAGCGCCACGGGGGGTCACCGGTGACCGGCGAAGCCGAAATTATTAGAAACACGTAATTCGAGTAAATTTTTAATGCTTTTAATTTTTTTAAATATTATTATCATTACTAAAATGGCTTGAAGAAATTAATGCAATATAGAACACACAAAAATAGTTTTATTTATGTACACAGAGATGCCAACTTACTCCGGACAGCGAATAAATATTTTCGAGTGGTAGTTTATTAATTGTGATTCTTGGTTTAATAAATTCAATTTAATAGATTTTTATCCACCTCTATTTCTAAACAATTCGTAGGCTTATATAAATCACCACTTTTATTCTTATATGTCATGCTAAACATTTTTTACTAGCAAAATCTGTCTAATATTTGCAAATTAAGTTTGTAGTTATTTATCGTTTGGCCAAACGGGTAAGTCATGTAAAATTAGCGTGACATTCAACGTGTTAATGTTTGGTATAATGTAATAAATTCTGGTTTTAGCACCATTTCGATTAATTATGTATTAATACATTTAATTTCTTGCGTTTCATCAGATAATTTTTTCTTCAGTAATGAACAAACGAAAATGAAAGCGTTAGTATATAATAAACTAGTTGTAAAGTTGTATAAATAACTTTTACGAGCTGCAAAGATCGTGCAACTATCTAACGTGAATATTATCTTTATCGAATGTTTATATAAAGGTATCACATTGAGGAAAGATCAAAAAATTTTATTCGTTGGAAACGCTGGAAGGCGCGAATGTTTCTTTATGAGACACACCCGTCTAAATTGCATAAATATTTCTATTTATGATGCTTTTAGAGTCACACCCAACCAAAGAGGTTTCGAAATAATGACTTAGGAACTATTAGCACCTATTTTGCTGTAAGTTTAGTTTAGACTGTTTAGCATTGTGTGTTTGTATTTTATGAAGGAAATCTAATGGAATGAGTGAATTTTAGATACCCGTGACTTAGTTCCTAACCTTAATGTTTATACTTGTAGTTAAGAGGAGCTTGCGAAATTATTTTACTGCATATTTAAATTCGAAATCATTTAGGTGACTTTTTTTTTCGTCAAATTTTTATTTCATCTCTATTAAAAATGAATTGGAAATTTCCGTATGGGTATTTACGGCAATATAATCGTCAAGCTTTGGCAACTTCCTGGTAGAGAGGCCCGCGAGAAATTGAAAAAGGAAAAAAAAAAAAAGTCGTGGAAGGGTATAACTCAGTCAATCCCAGACGAACCTTTAAATGTTTTTTTTTTTTAAAATTTTTGGAATTAGATAGATAATAGATAGATAATAATTAGATAGATAATTTTATAGATAGATAATATAGAGATAGATTAATTCGATGGATAATTAGAGTGACCCGCTAGAAATTAAAAAAGGAAGAAAAAAGTTGTAGAAGGGTATAACTCATAGTCAATCCCAGACGAACGTTTAAATGTAATTTTTGCAATTAGATAGATAATAGATAGATAATAATTAGATAGATAATTTAATAGATAGATAATAATTAGATAGATAATTTTATAGATAGATAATATAGAGATAGATTAATTTGATAGATAATTTAATAATTAGAGTGACCCGCTAGAAATTAAAAAAGGCAGAAAAAAGTTGTGGAAGGGTATAACTCATAGTGAATCACAGACGAACGTTTAAATGTTATTTTTGCAATTAGATAGATAATAATTGGATAGATAATTTAATAGATAAATAATAATTCGATAGATAATTTAATCATTAGAGTGGCCCGCTAGAAATTAAAAAAGGAAAGAAAAAAAAAAGTTGTAGAAGAGTATAACTCAGTCGATCCCAGACGAACTTTTAAATGTTTTTTTAATTTTTGCAAGTTTATTACCCTTTTTGACACCTTAGCGATTGAAGTTAGCGCAAGCAGGTACCAGTATGGAAATATCCCCGTAATGGCAAGGAATTTTATTCAGTTCAATCGTGAGTTATAAATCCGAAAGGAAGTTGTTCGAAAAAGTAAAACAAGCAAAACTATAATTGTGAAATGCACGATATCACATGCATCGAATGCATAGTGTTAATACCGCATACTCCAAAAAGAAGAAAAAAAAATGCAAATCGAATTTTATGAATCTTCACGCACTAAGAAAATAATCATATTTTATCATTATTAGTGTTCAAATAAATTTAAAAACCCGCTTTCAAGGCACGGAAGCTTGTGACGAATTCGCAATTTTAATATATCTTTGTTTTATCTTTAAATTCTTCCAACTAAGAATAACGTCGGAGATGCTCACGTAATAATACGTGAATTAAAAATTCAAATTTCTTTCTTGCGGTTTCGTCTCAGAAATCACGAGTAACAGACAATTAAATGCCTTGAATACCACTGTAGTTAAAGTCATCACCGTATAAGTAGTTCGTGTTGTTACATTTATTTCCAGAAATTATTGTTCATCTAAATATTTAAGGTCACTTACACTAATAATTTAAGAATACTAATGTATTAGACACGAAGCATGAGATAGCTCTGTCGTGGGTTTCAAAGAAGATGCCTTAAATAGTAAATATTATCCTATTATGACATTCTTAGTCTGGATTAACGTGAAAAACGGCTGGTTTTTATTGAATTTTTGAGTGACATAAGTTTGAGAAATATAAAGGTACATCAACTTGTGTTTATACACTAGATTGCCCAAGGAAGTCATTTTGACTGCTTTTTAATTTCAATTCGAAAAACAATGATGTATAAAATGACGCAATTTCTTAGAATTTTGTAACTTTTTGTACAACATATAATTTTTTTTCTTGTTAATATTTACTAATAAGTTGTTATTTAGCTGTAAATAATATAAAAATATTAAAAATTTCAGACAAATTTCTTTACAAATTAGTTATTCTTACACAATCTAGTCATTTTGAATGCTTTTGGGCAATATAGGTATATACTAAGTTTGTCTTTCTAGTGTTATTTAACTTAATATACGTATTGGTAGCCTAACTTTTATACATTTTTAAAATTTTCTTCTGCTTTTAAAAAGCAAAGAGCTGTAAGGTTTTATTTATCAGCTCTTCCTTGCAAAAAATTTCCACAGTAATTGGTACTAAAGAATTGTCTGTGCTGTTTTGGCTTGTGTATTAATATATATATATTTGCAAATATACATTTAATTAAACACTAGAAAGACTGAAACTTAGTATATACCACCTATATTGCCCAAAAGCAGTGCAAACGACTGGATTAAAAAAGAATAACCAATGTGTTAAGCAATTTGTTTAAAATTAATGTTTAATATTTTTTTAAATTTTATTTACAGTTATATACAAGTTATTAGTAAATATTAACAATAAAAAAAAATGATATGTCGTGCAAAAGTCACAAAATTCTAAGAAATTGTGTCATTATATACATCATTGTTTTTCTAATTGAAATTAAAAAGCAGTTAAAATGTCTTTCTTGGGCAATCTAGTGTTAAAATAGTTCATTTTGTTGCAAAACCCTTCGATTATTCTGTGTAAGAAAATTAATCGAAATAAGGTTTTCAAAGAATTCGTTGGCGAACCTTCATGATGTTGAAGGAATTATGATCACTGATTGATTTGATATGTATCTCTAAATGATTCTCTGGATTCTCTGATATCCTATGCTATCGAAAGTAGATCGATGATTATTGGGAAAGCCACCTGATGCCTTTCAAATTTAGTTCTTTCACAGTTCAACTAATTCGAATTACTAATGAAATTGTCTGTAAGCTGTGGACCGATCATCCGTTTCGTCATTTAGTTTTGGTATTGCCAGTTTAGCATTTTGCTTTCATCTTAAAAACTGATGGGTGAGCAAGATGTTTTTTTAAATTTATTCTCCGGGGTGCCATCTAGACTTGAGCTCCAGATCTTGCTTTTTTTGAGATCTGAGAGATTATAATCTGCTTTATCGAATATGATTAATTTTAATGTTTCGTGTTTGAAATAATTTTAGTAAGTTCTTATGGATAGGGTGATAGATTTAAGAATGAAAATAGTT